AAATAACGTAACATGTAAATATAACAAGTTTTCCGACTTAAACACAAAATGGCCGACCTTACACGAAAATAAAAATAAGACCTGCTATGAAAATAAAAATTAGAAATAAAACAAAAGAGAAACAGAAAATAAAACACAGAAGTTATGCGAACTGTTTACTCAGGACGATGAAACAGAGAAACGAAGTAACACATTAAAATATACAAAGATAATCAAAATTTATGAAAAAGATAAACAGAAATTAATGTCAGGCGGGGAATACAAAATAAACAGAAAAAATTAGTTCTATATAACTCCAAAATATAAAGTAAACCAAGAGACCTAATAAAAAAGGGTGGAAAACAAAGATAAAATAAGAATTGGGGAAGGGGGTAAATAGACTTAAAAGAAAAATTCAATAATTTAGTCAGAAATAATCAGTAAAAGAACATGATATTTTTTTTAAAAACTTAGCGTAAAGTTCAATGTTGTAAGCAAAAAAATCCAAGATTCAAGTAGCTTAAATCAAGTCATGCGCTAAGCACTGGTGAAGCTGATCTGTGAAAAGAGAACTCCCATAACAAAGGTGAATACCACTGGATGCTCGGTCAATGAATGGCAAATATTTTCTCAGAAGGAAACGGCTAATATTACCATTACCATTATAGAACAGTTTCTACATTTGATCCCAACATTATGGACAGGGAAGGAAGAAAAGTGTAACTCGAATAGCACTGGTGGCTCGGTCAATGAATGCCGAATGTTTCCGCATTAGAAAACAGCTAATATTATCAATAGAGATGAGGGAAACGGATACTACACTCTGATCCCAGCTTGATGATCAGGCAGTAAATATTTACCTACACTTGCCAGGATGTGACAAAGGGTCGTTTTAAGGTGAGGAGTATACATACGGGTCAAGTAAAAAAATTGCCAGTCCCAGTGACCGCTGACACGGTGGCGTTGATATTACCCAGACCCCACTTCAAGGAGGTACTGCCGCATGGTTGAAATCCCCTGGACCAGGCGTTTTCTCGCATGTAAAATAAGGAGAGAACAGATATTACTCTTTATATTTACTCCTTTGCCCATAATGACGGGATATGACACTGGGACCGTTTAGAATGGAGATCCCAAGCGTGTGCATCCGGGTCAGGTCCCAAAACAGATCAGTCCCCGAAACAGTCGGTTGAGCTGACATCGTTATTGCATTGAGGGTGATGTTCTTCCCGAGACCGGGCATCTCTCGATATTTTTTTCAGTTGCGCTCTGCCCGAAGACAAAGACGTAATTGAGTTACATCCTTTCCGAAGACAGAAACGTCAAATGAGAGATAAAATAATGTTTGTCCGTCCCACGGCATATACTACACTTTGATCCGATCCCGATGGTCAAGGAGTAATTATTTACCCGCTGCTCCACGCAGCAAGATGAAGCACAACGCCGAGTTTCAAAGTGGGGTATCAAAGGCTCTGGCAAAAATTCTCTATAGACCACGTAAGAACGGAGTCAGTTTCCGCAGACAAGACTCCGCCAGGTAACGAGTAAAGAAAAGCTTAATCTTTGTAGCACTCTTAAGGAAACATCTAATAGTACCATTCCCGATGCCATCTACGACTATCCCTAATCCTTACCATATTCCTAAACATGTTAGAATTACTGCTGTTTTTATTGGGAATAATTTGGATAATACAACTACTGACCCCAGACATATTTCTTTAGTAATTGATTTTTTCCTTATTTTGGTTCTAATATTCAAGCACTAGCCTTCCATTGAATTACAGCACTGGGTGCTAAGGTATTCTACGTATTAATTTCGAACAAACGTCCATAGCGTTTTTAAGTGAATTTCAAATACCGTATTAAGATACGTGTACTTAGAACCAGTGAACCGCATATGTGCCATTTTGTTTCATTACATTTCACCATCTTTGAAACAACTTCATGATTCCATTCTCCAGATGATGCCATTTTTCTAGGAAATGAACTGATCTGAGTGGGTTTTATAGCACCCAAGAGAATTGATGTTCTTCTCATTCAGAGAATTTTGTAAAGCTCCTTATGGATAATAATCTTAAGGTGAAAGGTTAGATGAATACTGCGGGTGTAATAACCAAACTATACTAGTTTCTGTCAGTATGCCAAGAAACACGGGATCTGGCCCTGTCCTGGTGCACATGACATATGCATGATTGGAAACTGTCTGACATTTCATCGATTGCTACCTTTCGTTGGCCCATTTAGGAACAGTCCTTGTCTTTATTCAATGTTTTCATTTGGTGTTAGGAGCTTATAATGTATAAAGCACTTCTAATCGCACCATAAAAAAAGTATCACCTTTATTAGATAAAGACTGGGATTTGGAGTGATTAACGATGGCTCAATTCGTTTTTCCCTGCACATTGCCCGAGATTGTTCTTTTAAAAATGCATCGTTTTTATTGCATTTAAGCAGAGAATCGCTGATGAAAATTCATTCATTTATCTCATTAACTCATGCAACATCCAGCTATCGATGGCAAGCGTTGCCAAATGCCTTACAACCGATATATGGAGTATCTCTGTATTGCCACGTGTCGTTTAATCTGGCTTATTTTTAATCGGGGTTTCGATTTGCACATCATCAACGTTGCAAAACTCTCCGTCTTTCAGATCAACGTTTCGATTTCTGAACATAGCGAACCACTTATGGACATTACTCTCTGCTATGGTACCTTCTCCATGAATGGCACAATCTCTTTTACTGTTTGCATTACTATCACATCACAAGTACTATTATCATATAAACCCGCTATAATTATTAACGTAAACTAACACCCTCCCCCAGCATATTTGATACCACCATAAAAATAACCAATAAGGATTACAAACTGCAATTTCTACCAGTTACATATACACAGTCATCAAAAACAAGCAAATAACCAGCTTTAAAATAATAACAAATAAACTTTAAAAAATTAAAAATAATAGCAATTTTTACCTATCATAATTTTACACAGACCCCACCATACGTATATACGTGCATGCGAGGAAATATTATTCAGCGAAAAAATAGAAAAATGCTCTATTTGCTGACATGTATACATTCACGAGATATTCACGAGAAATTTTCGTTACACTTCCGATCTTTGAATTTCAACATAGAAATGCGTATGTATATAGACAACAGCACACATATACATACATATGTCAAGTCCCATACTGTCCAAATATGTTTATGTCTGTATGAGCCCCGGCGGACGAGCGAGTGTGCACGGACATGCATCTATGTTTGCGTTAGCGTGAGTGACATCACGACGACGATTCCCCACCCCCACTCTTCCATAATACACGCAATCTACATAAATCCAAAATTTTTGTAAAAAAATGAATCAGTTTGTCTGACGATCGCAAAAGCGTGAAACCCAGGGTCACAAACTCGCATCAATCCAACCAAATATATATATATATATATATATATAAAATAGTGCACTGACGTATGCAAGGCAATCACATGATCAAATGGGAGGTAAAACAGTACAAACGTTTGTTCCTACCCAGTATCCCTTGATCTACGTCTTTTTAAAAATAATTTCACTCCAAGGAAGGCGATAAAGCCACTAAGAAGCAAGGGGGGTTAAAATGGAAAGTTATTGAGGAGAAAGGGCAATAAAAGAACAGGATTCGCAACGACAGAAGATAGCGATTGACATCGCATTCAAACTTTTGAACATCATAGTTAACAAGAGAGCAGAAAATGAGAGGAAATTTCCACAGTTGAGAAGTGCGAGAGAAGAAACCATCACAACAGAACATACGATTACATCTAGCTAGTTCAACAGTAAAATGTTGAGACGTAATTCACAATCTAATATTACGCTTAAATTCGCTTTTTCTTAATGAAAATGCTTGTTAATCCCTTAAAAGTTTCTATTAAAAACACCTATCTATCATATTTTTATAATGATTTTGAGATCCACCCTTTGATTTTGGAATCCCTAACAATAAAAATAAATTTTCCTAAATCCCCGTATATTTATAATGTTAAAATCTCTTTTTTAATAAACACATATGTACTGCTTCTTTTGTGTTACCTATCTTTCTTCATTTGACTTTGTCTTTCATTATGACAAATCCAATAAATACTTTTCGAAATATCAATTTTCGAAGTATTCATCAAAAGGTTAGAGTGCTCGCCTTACAAAATATCACGTTATCTCAATCGTTGCAAAGCGTTTTAAAAATATAACCTATATGTCGAAAGGTCAGCCCTCTGGACTTCCTTAGATGCATAGCACAAGCAATAGCTTTTCTCGCTTTTCAACAAAGCCCATCTGAAGAATTCGTTGAATGATGTCAATTACTTTGCTTCAAGTTATTGTCTTGAAGAAAGAAGGAGAGAAAAGTGAGCATGTTGCTTTGGCTCCATGAAGGTTTTTTTTCCTCTTTGGTGAATAACGTCTTGGAGGAATCGTTCATAATTCTTTGGAAGTGTAGATTATTTTGGGATGAGCGGCAGTTATATTTCTTTAAGCAATCGTTTTGCTGCAATAAAGAAACCTGTGATTGCTTCAGGAACAATTTCTGATGAGTATGATGGGTTGAAGGAAAAAAGCCAACTATAAAACACCTATGTTAATCGAGTTTGGGTCGAAAGCGGATCAAATAGGAATCGACATTTACGTATCTGAGAAAATATGTGTGCATATTTATGGGTGTCAAGAATAGGTGTGTGGTGAGTGATTGTAAAAAAGAAGGAACGGAATAAATGAATTGGAAAAGAACGAAAGAAAGTATTAGCAAAGAAAAATATTAGAAAAGAAAGAAAGAAATGAAGCCCTTCTGAATAATTTGTTGAATGATGTCAATTATTTTACCTCAAGTTATTGTCTTGAAGAAATAATGAGAGAAAAGTGAGAAAGAAAGAAAGAAAGATTGGGAAAAAAACGAAAGTATTGGAAAAGAAAAAATAATTGGGAAAGAAAAAAAAACAAGGAAATGAAGTCCTGCTGAAAAATTCGTTGAATGGTGTCAATTATTTTGTCACAAATTATTGTCTTGAATAAAGAAAGAAAAAGAAAAAAAAGAAAGAAAGATTTGGAAAAGAAAGAAAGGAAGAAAGATTTGGAAAAGAAAGAAAAAGAAAGATAGATTTAGAAATGAAAGAAAGGAAAAAAAGATTTGGAAAAGAAAAGAAGAAAGAATGGAGGATTTGGAAAAGAAAGAAAAAGAAAAATTTGGAAACAAAAGAAAGGATGAAAGATTTGGAAGAGAAAGAAAGAAAGAAATATTTGGAAAAGAAAGAAAGAAAGAAATATTTGGAAAAGAAAGGAAAAAAGAAAGAAAGATTTGAGAAAGAAAGAAAGAAAGAAAGAAAGAACGAAAGATTTGGAAAAGAAAGAAAAAGAAAGAAAAAATCGGAAACGAAAGAAAGGAAGAAAGATTTGGAATAGAAAGAAAGAAAGGAAGAAAGATTTGGAAGAGAAAGAAAAAGAAAGATAGATTTGGAAACGAAAGAAAGAAAGATTTGGAAAAGAAAGAAAGAAAGAAATATTTAGAAAAGAAAGAAAAAGATAGAATGATTTGGAAACGAAAGAAAGGGAGAAAGATTTGGAAAAGAAAGGAAGAAAGAAAAATAAGAAATATGAAATAAGAAAGTGTGTTCGTCTTGTCTGTTATTCGCATGTCGGGAGTCCCGCTTTTGACTGAGAAAAACGCTGGTGTTATATAGTTATATCAGTCCCAGACGCACGCTGACTATTGACTAATACCTGCCTAGTATCCTTCATATGAAAATAGTCAGCGCCATTTACTCTAAATAGAAGGTCTTCTCTCAACAGCCTATTGTGGAAGAAGACGCAACACTTGGTGCTTACAGCACCACATAAAACCAACTCGGAGTCGTTTTTCGGGCTGACCCAATTCTCTGTTACATTCCCCCACTCCCGATCTCAGCACCAATATGCAGGGGTGGGTGGGCGTTTCTTTCTGGTGCTCCTTCGTAGTGGGGGAGGTACTTCATCCTCAGTGTTGTCGCTATCCATCTCCACCGCGGGAATCCATGTTCAAATTCCCTATCGCTCGTGGAAGACTCATCGGTGTCGCTTGCAGCAGAGTATTAGTCCCATGCAGGTCGGAGATCTTTAACGTGGCACGGCATGCCATCAATCAGGACAGATTGTGGACTAATAATCCCAGTGACCATCACGGTTGTAAATTTGCCGTCCATCAGTTCTGGGGTGGTCTCAGTAAACGGCTTCTTGTATGGGGCACTGCTTCCATGCCGCAATCCGTTTATTACACCTATGACACCTTTCTATTATCCCCTTTCCGGACGGTACATGTGCACACCGAAAGTTCAGTTGGACGCCCCATTCCTCCATGAAAGCCTTGAATAGCCTGCTAGGCTAGTGAATGCAGTATCGTTGCCGGTAAGGATTTCGTATGGCGGACCTGTTTTACAAAATATCGACTCCAATTGCGGAATAACGCTCTTAGAATCTTGTCGCGATGGGGCCGCTTCACAGAGAACCGTGTTGGTCCACTGTCAATCAAGGTTAGGTAATGACTGCGGCCATAATGTATAATATCAATCCCCAGCTTGGACACGTACTGCAAACCCCTAATCTTCCATTCGGCCAACGCAGCTGTGCCGGATTTATTCTGGACACTTCTCAATTACCATCTTGACAGTTTTACTAGGTACGGAGTGATCAACTCGCCTGACAAATGCGCTTAACACTAGGGTGAGCGCTAAGCTGATCTATTTGCATTATTTCGCATGGTTCCAACTCTCCTATGGCGGCACTACATGCTAAGAGGAAATGTGTCCTTCTTTAAAAAATCTAACCACCTCTGTGGAACTTTGGTAAGTTCATCAGTCTGACTTGCCACCCTCAGATCCAAGTTGAGGTCATACTCCGCAATTAGAGCCTGAAGGGTCACCAGTCATCTCCCCATGAACATCTCACACGCTGCCTTTGCGTACCTTTCCAGTTAAGGTGACGTTTATTTAATGGTACTTACATGCGGAATCATTGACCAGATGCAACACTTTCGCGTTCCACTGAAGGGCCAAGTTTATGCCCTTTAATGTTACATCAAGCTCAGCTAAGTTAATATGTTGAGCGTCACTGTCGCGACGAAGCCAGCATTCGTCCTCTACAATGTCTTCATTCACTTCCATCCACCCACACTGTCATTACCTAGCCGCTCGCTCGCCAGCATGCCTTTTGTAGGGTTTTCTTGATGCACTCTCGTCATCATCTCATGCGTTTCGGGGTGAGGGGGCGCCAGAAGTTTTGACGTCCCAACCTTTGGTTACTGCCCTAAGCCAACAAAACACTGGAAGGTCACCTACCATTTTTCCGCAGAGGTAGAACGTATTACGACGCGTGATAACGGTTGGAATATTTACTCCCTCTGTTCCATCGAAGCACGCCGCGCCCCACTTCCCTCCCGATTAGAAAATCAACTACTTTTGCACCATCGTCAAGTCGGGGTCCTTGCAGATCAGTCCAAAGTCAGATATATGCTTTCTGACGCGCGGCACGGCAACTGCACTTTCGTCGACGAAGATGTCATCTATGTATGCCGAAGTGGCATTTTACATTGCTTCAGCCTGTGACACTACAGTCTTGATAATTGCCTTCATTGTAAGTGGCCTCGCACTGTGACCGAAGCCTAAGCGTGTAAGGCAGTACCTCCGCCCTTTCAGTAAAACTGTCTGGAAAGGCCACAACGCCCTGTGGACCTGTAAGTACGTGGACCTGCAGGTACGTACTCCGAAGGTCCAACAGATTTAGAGACATTTAGTCAATTATGGCATCCACCTCACTCCATGAAAAACAATGTTACTTTACAAAATCTGCTTTGATGTTCTGTTCTACGTAGACTTTCAGATCAATACCTGAATACATCAACGAGGCAATATATGAGTTTATTAAATATAAAACTCTCGCCATAAGCATATACATACGCAGTTATTTAGCAAACACACGTCGCTTCTTCGTGTGTCTTTTGCAAACTGCAAAAGGATCATCTCTGATCAGAGCCCAACAGTAATTAGTCAGAAAAGATAGACTCCATCAGCCCTGAAACCTTTTCTTCATTGCTGTAATGAGTTGATGAAATCGTTTACCTCTCTCGTCACTAACAGCATCACAGTGTTAGGGGAAAATCAAGATTCTAGTCTAAGAATTAGATCTTCAAAAACATATTAAAGTTAAGTTGTTTGCATACTTCCAGGAGGTCTTCCACCAGTTTTCTCTAATTTTCTGCTCTTTCATTGCCCAGAAAGTTGGTTGCAATTGATTTGAAATCTTTCTAAACTATTTTTACCTTTCCTTGTAGTAGTCTGTGAACATTTTCTCTGAAAGAAGTTTACGAATCTTGGGACCAACAAAGATGCCTGCCTTTATCTTTACTTCCCTTATATATATATATATATATATATATATATATATATATATATATATATATATATATATAATGAATATGCATACACCTGGGTTCCCCCTCACAGTAATATGGTTGGCTGGTGTCAGCCATAAATACAGACTGATGTGGAGGTATAGGACGACGCCTATTGTCTCCGCCTATAGCCTACGCCTATTTCCTACCACTACGACGAGGACCAGTCCATTACGGTTACTTGCTAGATTGTCCTGCCCGGTTACAGTAGTCCAAAAACACATTGCTACTTAGAACAAATATATCCTTTTCGGAACATATCATATATATATATATATATATATATATATATATATATATATATATATATATATATATATATACGCACCTATAAAAACTAATGGGTATGTCCCAATCTTCATAAATACGTTGGACTCTATTTTAAGTCGGGGGTAGGATACAATGGTTTACCTACTTCACGCCGCTGGCGAATATTGTATCTTGTTGACGTTATAAAGATTACGATTTCATTTCCAACCTCCGTTTTGGTTATTCCTCATCCAATAACCCTTTCTAGGTTACAAGACTTATCCTGGGGAATAATATTCTGCCCATACTCGAATGCTGATTTTTTTTTTCATAGCCTTCCCAAAATCTTTCATAAGGCCAAGCTTGATGTGAAGAGGTGGCAACACTCATCTGATGACTTTCACTCATCTAGTGATGGATGTTAAACATTTTCCGTTCCAGGTTCCAGTTAATGTTTTAGTTGCCATTCACTCATGTCTGTACCATTCGCAAAGAAAGTATTTGGTATATTCACCTTGCAGTCCCAGCAAGAGGGGAACAATATTTAAATCTCCGCAAAGTTGCCAGTTATTTTGATTATAGTTGATACATGTTAGTAGTTATCGGAAGTTTCTTTTATGTGGACTGCATAACCAACTGAGATCGAAGGTAAAGCATTACCATTGTGTAATAAGATAGCTCTGCGTCTTGTCTTCGAGGAATCAGTGAATAGCCTCTATTCCTCTGAAATGTAACTGATGTTAAGGGATTACATAAGGCACCTGATATTATTGCCGCACGGCAAATCCCCTTCCATAAGGAAAAATGGGACCAGATCCTTGTAACGATCATGGAAATGGGAAATTCGTACTTTACCAATTAGCAGATTCCTCTGTTGTAACCTGGAGCCTAAAAGCTCTGCTTAGCTCTTTGGAAGTTTTAAATCTCTGATTAAGTCATTTGAATTATGACGTGTTTTTCAGAGACATACTGCAAAATAACATTGGCCATATGAAGCTAATGGTCGATGGTTCTGGAACTGGTATGTCTTCGTTATGGAGGACAGAATGCAAGACTAATGGAATGTTTGAATATTGCACAGGGCATTTCATTTCCTTTGAGAATGTCTTAGCAATTGAAGGCACCATAGAGAAGTAGCAATAAGTAGCATGATCAGTTGCTCTCCACTTGTCGTGATTTACAATTCTGCATCAAAAATATTGTTGGTAAGCTTTTCTCATGAGATGCATTATATTTCGCGTTGAAGATGCCAAATTTACTTCGCCGCACACATAGCAGAACGTATCGGCTTTGTTCAGACATTCACTGTACAGTTTTCAAAGATCAGTTAGATGTATAAAAACTTGAATGGAAAAGAAGAATAATTATTAGTTTATTAAGAAAGTAATTATATATAATAAGGTAATTAGAAAAATAATAATTCATCTGGCATAGACAAATATTTTGATGAAAGTGTTATATAACACTTATAGCATATCTTGAAATCTAGATCAGTCAACAATTTTAGATACAATTTCCATTTCCAGTAACCCTAGAATTAGCTAAGATTGACTATTTTTGTTTCTGAAGCTGTCATGGTGTTCACCAGAGATATCAGCAAAATAAAATAAATTGTCGAGCGGAGTTCAAATCCAAGGCTTTTCTGTAGCGATCACTTTCGCACAAATTCCACTGTGAAAGTCACGAATCCATCATTTTTACCTTTAATGGTAAATAGCAGGTGAGAATGGTATCTCTAGCCTTGGGTAGAAGCCAAAAACGTCTGGATTCAAAATCATGGAGAAAGCAAGGAGAAAGCACTACACTATCTTTCAAAAGAATATATGAGTAGATATTAAAGGAAAGAAATCTGTAGAGAGTCCTGGTCAACATTAAAGACATGCATATAGAATGCAGGGAGAGATGGATACATGGCTTTTCCAAGGATGTAAATAATAAGTGACGATAAAAATTTGTATTTGAGT